CAATAGGTCCAGTTTACCAATAGGTCCAGTTTACCAGCAGGTCCAGTTTACCAATAGGTCCAGTTTACCAGTAGGTCCAGTTTACCAATAGGTCCAGTTTACCAATAGGTCCAGTTTACCAGCAGGTCCAGTTTACCAATAGGTCCAGTTTACCAATAGGTCCAGTTTACCAATAGGTCCAGTTTAACCCCCTCCGGCAGAATCAGCATCATCGATCATTTTTAAATGTATCCACAAAATTTTAAAACACATTTTCTCCAGTCAATAAACCAACTTAAGGCTAATTTTGTGCAACAAAATGTTTTCAAAGATTAAAAGTTGAAAAAGAAAATCCAACCAAACAACGTTAGAAAAAGAAACAAACTCATTAAAAAAAACTCGTTTAGAAATTTTGTTCTAGATCAGTTAATTAATAAAGACACGTTGAAGAATAAAATGTAAAATTAGATGTAGACAGTTAGAAAAACATGAGAAAAAGATTACTAATAAGTAGTAAATGTTTGGGGAAAAAATCATAAAATCATAAAGGTATAAAAATAAAGTTGTAAAATAAAAACAGGGATGCATCTGGTTGGTTATTTTTTATTGTATCACTGAAACTAAAACTGGGTTAATATTATTAAGATCTGGAGGATCTTGATACATCAATAAAGCTTTGTTAATATAAACACTTAACATTGACAGTGGCCCAAATTTTCATATTTTTGTATTCCTAAATAAATACATAAAAGTAAAAAACTGCATGAATAGACAAAAGTCTGTTATTAAAAATAGGAGGAAAAGAAAGTAGACGTATAAATAATCAAATATTTAATTTAAATGTTAGATTAAACTGTTTTTCAGGTTAAATGTAACAACATTAGATATCATCAGGTCTCCTCCAAGCAAAGACAAAAAGCTTCAAGTTTGATTCATGAGCTCAACAAATTAAACTGCATGATGGTTCAGTTGAAATATATATTCTAATTTTTCAGAGGGTTTTTTGGCTCATTGACTTTAAGACATATTTATCAAACTGGCAAGACATTGAGGCTTGAAATATCCGCCCTATAATCTGTCACACTATTATTGTCACATGATTTAGATTCTTATAGCAGAACCTGGAGTTAACCTACGTGCGGCTGTTTGGTGTGCAGCTCATTTTCCGGGTATTTCTCTAGTAAAATCAGGCAGGAAGTCTGACATTTGGGAATTACTGCTGTTATTCTCTGAAAGCCAAAATGGCGTCACGGCCCAGGCAGCACATGTGGGCGGGAAAATGTCGCTGCGCCTCTATTCGGCTCTTTTCGGCCGTCGTCGGAAAACATGCGGAGCAGCAGTAGCAGCGAGCGACGTGGAGCGCGCAGCCGCCGGAGGAGCACCGCGACCTGGGAAAGATTTCGCCCAGTCTGCGGTCAGGGTGTCGGCGCGGGGAGCGGCTGGAGGGTCGGGAACAGAAGAATGAGAGAGGCCTCTGAGCGGAGGGGCCGAAAACATGAACGGGGCCGTTTACATTTCGTTTTTCCAGGGCCAGCTGGAGTCCGTGCTGGAGCAGGTCGTTCAGCTCGCCGTCCAGGAAATCAGCAAGTCGGTGGGCTCCAGCCTGAACGCCCTGCTGCTGGAGACGGCCGCCAAGGAGCAGGAAAACCGCCGGCTGCGCCTGCAGCTGCAGAGCCGCGAAGGCCGGGGCTCGACCTCCCCGGAGGACGGAGGCTCCGCGGCGGGCGGTAGGAGCGGGAAGGCGGGCCACGAGCGGGGGGACGGCGGCAGGACAAAACCCGAGCCACGCGGCGCCGGAGCGCGGGGCGGGGAACCCGCAGCGCCCGTGACGGCTGTGGACACCCGCCGCCTGGAGCAGAGAGGACGGGTCGTAGGTGAGCTGCTGAACCAACACACACACACACACACACACACACACACACACACACACACACACACACACACACACACACACACACACACACACACACGTAAACAAACGGCCGTGGGGGGATCCCTCCGAGCCGGAGAGGCGTTGCGTAAGCGGGTGAGATGTGTAAACAGGCTGCAGACTCACGGAGGCCTGCGGGGGGTGGAACCCGCATCCCCGGACTCTCCTGACTCCCGCACCGGGACGAAGCGGCGCGGAGGGCGGACAGCGCCCACCCGCCGCGTCGCTGCACGCAAAGCTGCTTACAGGGAGGATGTGGCCTAGTTTCCAGAAGCTGTGGATTCCCGGCGACGGAACCGGTTCTGGAGGAAGGACGGAACCGGGCGGGTTAAAAATAAACTTACGAGCCCCACACCCACCCAGCCGCCTGCATGGAGGTCATAAACATGAGCCACAGTCCGGTTTGACAGGTGGAGTGGGTGGGGGAGGGGGTAGGGGGTCACCAGGACAAAGAGGGAGCTCCTGGTCCGGGATGAAGGGCCAGAGGTCAGAGCTGGAGGTCACTGCAGCCGCTGCTACCTGGAGCAGAGGCACAGTGGACAGCGCAGCGGGACGGGCCTCTAGAGGAGGAAGGAAACAAACATGGCAGAACCAATCAGATCTTTGGAAAACATAAACAACCGTTTGATGGTTTGTTTGGCTTTATTTTCTTAAAACAACAGAAACGTTTAGGTTTCATATTCACTTTGAAGCTATAAATGTCGTCCAGCAACAGAACCAGAACCGACCTTTGACAGAAGTCTGAAAAACCCATTTCCAAGTTTTTCACCCCAAATCAATCCGACCTGGTCCACTTCCTGATGCGTCTGAATGCTTATTTTATCCAACATGCGTCATAATTCTGCAGCAGAAGAAGCCAGACGGTGAATCTGGACAAAATGTCAAAAATCCATCCGGCTACGGGTCGGAACCGTGACTCTGATGTTTTCCAAGCAGGACAGATTAAGGGCTCAAACAGCAGAAAGCTGCTCTGGGATCAAACGGAACCTCTGGAACTGGAACCGGGCCGGTCCGGTCCGATTGTTCATTAGAATAGGAACAACTTTTATTGTCTTGCAGTGGGGAACCGCAGCAACAACAAAAAGTTCTTAAAACGTTAAAAACAAAATATAAAGAACAAGATTAACGGCAGCAATAACAATAATATTCTGCAGCAAGAATATCGGAACGACGCTGGCGCTGATCCAGAGTCAGCAGCTTCCCACTCCTCCCAGTGTTTCCAGTAGGAGACAAACTGGGAAAAGGACTGCTGGACTGGATGAGAAAGAAACCAAACCTTCAGGAAACTGGGAGAACGGGGAGGAAGAGGCCGGGATTAGGATTTTAATCTGATGAGATGCTGCCAGATGCGTGAAGTTCAGATGTGCAGAGAGAGACATCAGGTCTTTAAGATGGACCCATCTGTGCAGTTCTATTGGGTCCAGAATCCGGTCCGAGGTTCTGAACAGGTTGGATTCCAGCTTCCTTCCTGCCACTGGGCTCTGAGCCCAAACTGTGAATCGGTGAATGAATGTGTGTGTGAGTTCAGTCCGTTTACCATTTCATCATCCTGGAGCCGTAAAGCTTCAGACTTTCAAAATAAAACTCCTGAAGAAGCTTCAACCTGTTTCAGTGTCTCACACACACACACACACACACACACACACACACACACACACACACACACACACACACACACACACACATCATGGCCTCTGCTGCTGGATTGGAGGACGGCCGGCCTCATCGGCCAATCAGATGCAGCCGTAGGTGTGGGGAGGCGGGGCTTAACGCCAGCAACAGGGTGATGCAATGAGGTCACTGCAGTGACACTCTGGTCAGATGACACGGTGACCTAAAATCAGTTTGTTGTCATGGAGACAGAGGGCGAAGAGGAGGAGGGGGGTCAGATTAGACGGCTGGTTCTGGTTCTGGTTCTGGTTCTGGTTCTGGTTCTGAAGGAGACTGGACTGGAACCTTTAATGTTCCTGGGAAGAAATCAGAAACAACTGTTTAAAGCTGCAGAACTGAACAGAACCAGAACCCTCTCTGCTGGAGTCAGGTCAGTGGGTCTGAAGAACGGATCAGAACCTGAAGAACGGATCAGAACCTGAACCCAGCAGAACCTGAAGAGCGGATCAGAACCTGAACCCAGCAGAACCTGAAGAACGGATCAGAGCTTGAAGAACGGATCAGAACCTGAAGAACGGATCAGAACCTGAAGAACGGATCAGAACCTGAACCCAGCAGAACCTGAAGAACGGATCAGAACCTGAAGAGCGGATCAGAACCTGAACCCAGCAGAACCTGAAGAACGGATCAGAACCTGAAGAACGGATCAGAACCTGAACCCATTGTAGTTCCCACAGAGAACTGGAAATGTTTTCGATTCAGTTCAAAAGGCTCTAATGTGAACAGATTCCCGACTCGCTCCGGACTCTGGACCGTTTCTCTTTCCTCCGCCAGGATTAGTTCCCTTCCATCAGCTGGCTCTGCTTCAGGATGAGCAGCAGCGCCCTCTGCTGGATGGAGGCCAAACTAAATAGACTTTAATCAGAGGAACAGATTTAATCTAATAAACTGTTTGTTAATTTGTTAGCATTGCTGTGTTTCGGTCCTGAGGGGCGGGGCTTGTTGCCGGGCTCTGTGTGGTGTGGGGGCTGTTGTTCTGAGGTTCTGACCCGTCTGGTCTCCGTCCTGCAGACCAGCTGAAATCCGTCATGGAGCAGGTCCTGGCCTTCGCGCTGCGTGAGCTCACCAAAATCGTGGAGGCGTCGTTCGACGACCTGCTGCTGGAGATCACCAAGATGGAGGCGGAGCAGCAGCAGCTGGAGGACAAGCTGGGGCGGAGCTCCGAGCGGGGGGGCGGGGACAAGCCCCGAGGGGCCGGGGGCAGGAGGCGGGGCTCCGTCAACGACTCGGTGTCGCCCAGTGGGTCCGAGGACACCCGGGAGGAACCGGCCGAGGAGTCCAAAGAGACGGCGCCGGCAGACGGTGAGTGATCCGCTCCTATTGGTCCTCTGGTTCTGATCGGGTCTGAACGGATCTGTAAACCGTAACATCAATCCCTTCCTCAGAGCCGGAGCCGCCCCCGGCCCCCACTCCCGCCCAGGACTGGGTTCCCATCCTGGACAAGGTGTTCGGTCAGAAGTGGTGCAGCGACGTCTGGCCCATGAAAGGTCAAGGTGGAGACAGTCGCCGCGGGTGACGAGGCAGGCCCCAGCGAGGGCGGGGGTCACCATGGCGACCTCGTCTCCTCCACCTCCGTGATCCCGCAGCCTTCGCCCTCGTCCCCCCAGCAGGACCCCCGCTGGACGCCCCTGGAAGACATGGAGGTGTTTTCTCCCGACGACGACGAAGCAGCCGACGGCCAGAGCAACGCCGCCGCCACGCCGGGGCCCCCCGCCACGCCGGGGCCCCCGCCACGCCGGGGCCCCCGCCACGCCGGGGCCCCAAGCCACGCCGGGGCCCCAAGCCACGCCAGGGCCCCCCGCCGCGCCGGGGCCCCGCTCAGCCCTCAGGTGAACCACACTGAACAAAACTGGTTGCATTTGTTTCATTTATTCATGAAAAACAAGAACATCTCACAGGAAGCCAGATCCAGGGTTCCAGGATATCATCAGACTTAGCATTGCTTATTATTGAAGTTTTCTGTAAAGTGTTTGCATTTTTTAAGACTTTATAGTTGGTGTTCAGATATTAACCTTCTAATATTACAATAACTCATTATGTCCAGGGATATTTTGAAATTTCCTGTCAACTTTAAAGATTTTTTGAAACTCAAAACACGACGAGCCGCTGGGTGAGTGACTGCTGAGCATGTTTACGTTTTAAAGTTATGATTTAAATGTTAATGACATATTTAAAATGATAAAAGTAATTTTGAAAATAAGTCTTAATGTTTTGTGTTTCTAAGTCATAATTGTGAGATTAAAGTAGATTCTGAGTTTTTACGTAAGTTTTACTTTCATTGTAAATGAAACTCGTACTTGGAAAAAGTTTCAGCTCTATCAGAGCAATCAATATTAATTTATCAAATATCTACTGCCTTGGAAAATCAGGCACATAAAGCTGAAAAATCTGAATATTCTGCTAATTCAATGTATATGTAGTAAATTAAAATGTCAAAAATTAAAATGATAAAATTAATAAAATATGTAAAAATATTAGTGTAATTAATAAATTTAAAGTGTTATAAGTAATAATTTAAATAAAGCAATTTTGTGCAAAATTATTTCAGTCAAATAAGAAAAGATAATTTTTTAAAAATACATTCATACAAAAACTTTTGGTTCCTTTTTTTGAATAATCTTTTAATAAATGACCAATAAAACTGTAAACAAATTTAGCAAAATATTGCAAAAATGTCAGAAAATTATATAGTTTTAAATAAAAACCACTTTATTGATCCAAAGGAAATGTAACTTGTGTTCTGTGTCTGTCGCCCTCTGGTGGCCGATGGATCTTCAACCATATAATCTGTGACCTCTGACCCCTCAGGCCGCCGCTCCTCTGCCTCCATGCTTCATCGCCTCCTCACGCTGCCGTCTCAGCTGCTGGACGAAGACGACGAAGACGCCGCCGCCAAGGAGACGCTCATCGCCCTGGCAACCAACGGCAGCAGCGACCAGCGGGACGACGCGGAGCCGACGGTCCGGGCCGAGGAGGACGAGGAGGAGGACGAGGAGGAGGAGGAGGGGGACAAAGGGAGGAAGGTGAGTGAGGAGAAGCTTCTGGTTCTGGTTCTGGTCGGCTGACTCTCTCTCTCTCATTTGGCAGAAGAAGCGGCGGCGCGTTTGGTCGGAGTGCGAGGAATGCGGCCGGCGGTTCAGCCGCATGTCGCTGCTGAAGGCTCACCGCCAGACGCACACCGCCGGCGACTCGGCCGCCGCCGACACGTCGTCCTCATCGCCGCCGCCGGCCGGCGCCTCCTCGCCGCTGCGCTGCTCCGAATGCGGCAAGAGGTTCTCGTCCAACACCCGGCTGCACAGCCACGTCCGGACCCAGCACCCCAACCAGTCCTGAGGCTTTTACTTTGAAAGGCAGCAGGAAGTGGGATCAGCGAGGCCCGTTTACCTCGGAACCAGAGCAGAGTTCTGGTTGTGGAAACCGTATCCACCTGATTCTGCAGCCAGAAGAAACATTTTTAGGGTTTGAAGCAGAAAAATTTAACTAAGGGAACCAGAACCAGAGGTCCAGAACCAGAGGTCCAGAACCAGAGGTCCAGACCCGAGGCATCCGGTACCGAGCTGCAGCTACCATCAGGACAACAGAACCGTTAGTCTGCGGCCAATTTTACCAGAATTTCTTTTTCTGACAAAGAAAATAAAACGAGGTTCTGAGAACTTCCCAACCAGAACCAGAACCACTCGGACTTTGGGTTTTACAGGAACCAGAGAGGATCTCTGATATGCAGGACTCAGAACTTTAATTCATTTAGAGATCATCTAGTTGAATTTCTCAGAATCGGAACCAACTGGACCCGGAGAACTGAGGCCCTCTTCTTCTTCTTCTCCTCCTCCGTGTGTAAATTTGTCCTCCAGGTGGACAGGAAGTGACCTCACGCCCTGAGGCCTCCCGCCGCCTGACGCTTTGTTTCGCTCCACATGTCGGATCAGAACCGGGCTTTCTAAGTGCCACCGGACTCTTCCTGGTTACTCACTTGGCCGGCGTCGTTCCCTGACCCCCGCTCTACTTCCTGTCGGCCATGTTGCTTCAGATGTTTACAGAGAGGAGCCGGTCGGTCCGCGGCGGCGTCACATCGTCACTGCCAGCAAGATTTCAAGTCAAAACGAGCCGTTTGCTTTTCCCTCCCTGCTGAGCCGAAAGGGCTTAAAATAAAACGTATTCAAATATAATAAGTTATAACGTAAAACTAAAAGGTATCGGGACGTTTAATTAAAAGTTTTAGCACTTAGATGAAAGATCAGAAAAGCTCTTACTGTTTTATCAAATATTACAGAGAATTATGCTTGAAATCAAAGATTTCAGATATAAAAAAATATGCAAAAAACTATTCAACCGTTTTAAGAAAGAGTAAAATAAGATAAGAAAATGTAAATTTAATTTAAAACAAATTCAATATTGAACAGTTTTAAAAATAATTTAAAAAGAGATTCATTTGATAAATTATATTAATATTCATATAATTATAATGAATTACAAATTTTAAAAAAGATGAAAAGCAAATTTTGATTATTTAAAGAATAAAGATCAGAAAGAAAAACCTGAAATTTGTACTTTTATTTTGAAAGCAATTTGGAATAAAATGATTTTTAGTTCTTTTAAATATTGAAATGAAAAACATTGAGCTTCATATTAATTTATAGCTTTTATTTGAGTTTTTGCCGTGGCACAAAAATCATGAATATTTTACATTTAACTGTAATCTTTTAAAAAACTTTAGATTTTATTTGTGGATGCAGAAAATGTCCTGTTGCTCTGACTCGTTGATCCTGACGTGATTTTCCTGCCTGAAATCTCAGATTTTTATTGTTTTGATCTGGATCAGCTGACAGGTGGATCTCTCGGTTCTTCTCGTGAACACAGACTCTGTTTTTATCCTTTCGTTTCTCGCCTCGTGATGAAGCTCCTGGTTTCTAATCGGAGATGAAGGTCAGGATCTGCAGAGCGTTTTCGGTTTGGTCTCTGCCGACCCGGCATGTAAAAAACCTTGTTGGGGGTCGATTTTTGTTTATTTCCCGGTTTTCGATTCGCTGACATCTGAACTTCTGCGAACGCCTCGTGTTCGGTTGGACCGACTCGTTTGCACTCTCAGCCTCCACCGTGTTCACATACCTCATTTTTTACAAGTGTTTCTGTGTCCAAACAGACCCGATTACCTCAGATGTACAGCGCTGATATTTGGCTACGTCAAAGTGGATTTTCTTGGAGTTTTCTAAAGCAAACCGTTTGTTTCTGTTTGGGTGCGTGTCAGAAAATCACGAGAAGCTGAAGCTGTTTGGTAAACAACAAACATTTAAATGTTAGAATCTACAAATATTTATTAATTTTTTCTTGGTAGAGATTTATGGACAGGATACGACCAAATACATTTGGTCGAATTGATTTGATTCAAAAAACGTTTCAAAATATTTAGATTTTTATCAGATATATGTCTATTACGACGCTTTTAAATCATATTAAAGCTAAAGTTTTCTCCTTTCAATGTGTTTTGCATGTAATTTTGGGAATTAAAATAATAAAATTCAAATGTTAAACACTTTAATTTGGGAAAAGAAGAAAATTATGTAAAATGCCCCCAAAAATCTGACGCAAGTTGATCATTTTCACTTAAACAGAGAATAAATGATGCGTTTCTTTTACCGAACAGCTTCAGTTCAGTGTTCTGATCCGGTTTCAGAGGAGAACTGGAACCAGGTGAGCGTTACCTGGAGGTTACCTGGTGTCCTCCAACAGGCGCTGTGATCATGTGACCTCTTGAACCAATCACTGCTCCTCCTGTCATGTTTACAAAGCCATGAGAGAAATGCACCCGTGATCGGAGCGATCTGTTATCCAGATTGTTTTAATATCAAAATAAACCCAATTAAAACCAGCATTTAGGAACATTTTAACATAAAGTTTGATTGATCTGATGTAATATTTCAGAAATAAAGCAATAATTTAAGCATTGGAGTGATTCAGTCAGATTTAAAGTTTGAGATTTCCCCAGTTGAGCAGATTTCCAGCGGGTGCGCGTCTCTCCATCCCACGTTTCTAAAGGAGGCTGGCGCCGTGACGTCGGGTTCACGTCGTCCTCTGAGACGCATCCAGACGCCGTGAATGTGTACATATTTCAGCTGTTTTTGTTGTTTTATTTGAAGAGAAAACCATGTTACTGTTGAACCTCCAGCAGCGAGCGCAGAGGCGTCTGAAAAGGTCAGCTGAGCAGGAGCGGATAGACGGACGGACTCTGGGGTTCCTCAGGGAACGACTCTCGGTCCTCCTGATGTTCGATGCAGGTGTGGGGGTGAAAGGGACGTTTTTAAAGATCTTTAATTTTATTATTATATATTTTTTTTTTTACAGAACTATCTGTTTTTATTAATGCAGCCAAACGTGACTGATGTTCATATTCTTATGGATTTCCTCATTGTTTTTGTACTTCGGACATCTTGTTTCTACTTCCTGTATGATGTCGATGAACTGTGTTTGACAAAGAAAGTTCATCTCTGTGTTTGTTTGGATTTGATGCAATACTTTTATAAAATATAGCGTGTTTTTTGTAATTTGATGAATCAATGTAAACGTTCTTCAGTCTGAACATGAGTGATGAAGAGCATGGAGCCTTCATCAGAAGAAATGCAGACCAACCATCAGTTTGTTTTAATTCATGCTCTGTGTCTGTTATTTAACTGGTGATGTGATGATGATGATGAAGGCCACGGTGGAGGTGTTTTTGTTTCTTTTCTAATATTTCTGACCTGTTTTAGTCGATGAGACCGGGTACTTTTAATGTAAAAATCTAAATAAATGTTCCCAACCACACATCGCAGCCTGCTGGCTTTTGGTTCTGTCATTTACCACATGTGGAAATATGAAATCAATCCAATTTTATTTGTATAGCAAATAAGAACAAATGAAATAAAAAAAAATAAAACATTTGAACAAAAATACGTCAAATTAATATAAATAAATTAGGAAAAGACAAAAACTGACAAGAGAAATGGGAATAAAAATAATAGCACATAATATTAATGTCATTTAAATTAAAACTCAGATCGAATATTAATAAAGAAGTTAATTATTTAAACGCCAGTTTAACAAACATTCTGAAATGTGTTTGGTTCCCTCAAGAAAACAAACTTATCTTTCGGACGTAGTGACGTCAGATAATTGCCTCGTGCCCTGGCTGCCCCGGCTCAGCGGGGGTGGCGCGTGCTGCTCCTCATTCATTCACTAATTCAAATTAGCACATCGGCGCGTGCAGTCGGAACAATGGAGATCAAACGAACGGCAGAACGCGAGATGACTGCGCGTGCCCGCTCTGCGCGCGCCCGCCCTCACAGCTGTACCCACCTACTGGCGCCGTTGTCATGGTGACCCAGATACCCGCCTGAACGGGTATGTGTGCACGAGCGGGAGGAAGGAGGGAGGAAAGGAAGGTATGAAGGAAGGAGGGAGGGGAATTAGTCAGTGAAAGAGGAGGAGAAGGAGGAGGAGGAGAGGGTGTTCTGCCGAGGTGGACGTGGCGGGTCCGGAGGACTGAGCTGCCGCAGCTGAGGGGAAGCAGAACCGAACCGAGCAGAACCAGGATAGCGGACCATGAAGCGGGCCACCCGCAGGTAAGAGCCGCCCTCTCCGGGGATTTCCCTCTCCCCAGCCCCGAGCCTCGGAGTTCCGCTCGCTTCGGAGCCTGTTAACGGTCGGACGGAGGACCGGGCCGCCGCTCGTATCGCCCCCGGTTCTGTGGCTTCGTGTCGGGGTGTCAGCCGGTCTCTGCTGCCCGCAGCCTGCCTGTGAGACGCATAAAGCGGCCAGGCAGCCTGAAGGAGGCCGCTGTGTCTCCTCCTGCGCCCGCCTCACTCTCACTTTCTGCGGGATGCTAGCTGCAGCTAGCCCCGCTGCTTCTCCGTAAACAAGATGGCCACTGGCTAGCTGCTAGCGGCTAACGGCTCGGCCCTGCTGGTGCGGCTGCAGAGCGACTCCCTCCGCAAACAGCAGCAGCTTTCTCCCGCTGTCTGGAGGCGGAGAAAGAGCCGCCACCGGGAGGAGGTCACGGTAGCGGTGCGTGGCCGGTGTGCGTGAGCTTGCGTGGCTGTGTGACAGCAGACGGGTAACGGTCAGCGCCTCCGGATCACTTCCTGGAATCCTGTAAAACTGGAATTTGATTAGAGTATTTCCAGGAACGGATAAGTGAGGAAAAAAGAAAAACATTTAAATCCCCAGACGTTTGATTCCGTTTGTTTAAACAATGAGAAAAACCTGAAGGTTCAGAAATGGAAAAAGAAATTCCCATCCAGACCGTTGTTGAAAACATCTCAGCCTTTATCAGCTGGCATCAGCTTGACCTTTGACCCTGGTACCAATTCAGTCCTTGCATCATCACCTGGAGCTGCTCTATCCCTTAATTTAACTCAAGTTTTCCCCAGACTGAGCAAGTAAAACGACAACCAAAGTCCAGAAAGAGCAGAGAGGGACTCCACTAATATAACGGCTCAATATTTCATCCATGCAGTCCTTTGGTGGCCATATTACAGGAATTATCACAGCTTTTGAAAGCACTGATGACGAGCAAAATGTCTGTTCTTGATGCCTTTGTGGTGACAGAATTGTGACAAAAATCTCTGACAGATGAACCCAAACCTGCCAGGATTTTGGGGTTTCCTGATTTTTCTCTTCCTTTCTTCGACATCAGTGACGTAAAGTTTGTGAGGTTTTTCCTGACCGTATGGAACCGATAAATGATGTGAGATATTTAGAAACTGGTCTTTATTTCCATCTTGTTGCTGTTTGTGTTTGTGGAGGGGTTTGGCCATGTGACAGTGATGCAGCGTTGCATTGTGGGTAGTTTGGAGCAGAGATGTGACATTAGTGATGTGGTTGACTTTTCGTTTGGAAAATATATGTTTTCCAGTTTATGGTAGAAATATTAACATTGACCCAAATAGTAATATTTCCATACGAGCCAAATTAACGTGGCGTGATGCCGTTATCTGTTCCTCTTCCAGATGTGGAACTAAAACCAAAGCACCTGCAGACTGAACGTCGCAGTTTATCCGACTTTTATGTGAAACATGCGTCATAATTCTGCAGCAGCAAAAGAAGAAGAATGATAAATCTGGACGTAAACATTTGAAAATGATGGAAGCAGTCTTGAGTCAGTGAACGCATCGCATCCCAAGTCAGTGAACGCATCACATCCCAGCCCGAGTCAGTGAACGCATCACCCTTACCTTGACCCTTATTCAACTCTGGTCCAGTCTGGATCTGTTGGACAATAGATATCTAGATGAATATTAACATTTATCAATATTATTGATATCCATTTCCTTAACATTTTAACATTAAATAATCAACCACTTTGCTGTCATTGCATCTCTGTTTTCAGTGAAGACATCACACACACAATCAGTGCAACAAACAAGATGGAAACAAACGTCGCATGGTTCCAGATTTACCGATACGTTACTAGTACGTTACCCATACCGATGCTGATTCATGGCTAATTATCAGCTCCTTTGTTGCCGGCAGACAAAAGAGGAAACAAAAATTAACCAAGTTAAAGATCAGAATGGAAACGTGCTGCGTTTGTTTTCTACTTTATTCCCAAACAGATGTCGACTCTGTTTCTCCCAACATCTGGAGACATGAAGGACAAAAGTTGCTGGAGTTCAGAGGCAGGAAGTAACCTGACATGACGCTTCCTGCTGCAGGTTGTGCTGCAACACAGTCTGCAGCAGAAAGACTGGAAAAAAAATTGCAGGAGAAGTTTTGCCCCCACCTTCGAGGCGGAGCTAACTCCTCCTCACAGCTGTAGCTTCCAAGCTCCCGTCTCTCAACTCCTTCAGACTAGCCAGTAGCAGTTAGCAAACACCTGGAGGAAGTGCATCAGGTTCTCTGAGCAGCTTTGGTAGAAACGTATCAGGGTTGAGACAACAGACATGTTGGCATGACTTCCTGGAGGTGGAGCTTCGGAACGAGCAGGAGCTTTTAAAGAGACAGAGGCCCAATTTGAAGGCGTTAAATCGGGAAGTAAAATTTCTTTTAAGTTACATTTTATATATTATTGAACAGCATCTTTCTGACATGTCAGCATCTTTCTGACATAGTTACTGGATTGTGCTATAAAATGAAACAATGTGACTGAAAAACACCATAACCGCAGCTTTAACCAGGCAGGACCAGAGAAAACTTAATACTGCTGCTGCTCCTCCAACCACCACTAATAATACTATTATTACTGCTAATAATAATATTATTACCAATAATAATACTATTATTACTGCTAATAATAATATTATTACCAATAATAATACTATTATTACTGCTAATAATAATATTATTACCACTAATAATACTATTATTACTGCTAATAATAATATTATTACCAATAATAATACTATTATTACTGCTAATAATAATATTATTACCAATAATACTATTATTTCTCCTCCCCCTCTCTCCCTGCAGGCTGGTTCCAGTCAGGTGACGGCGTTGACGACTCGGACCTTCTCCTCACCGTCTCTGGTTCCTCTCAGGTCGACCCCCTCACCCCCCATCAGCACCGCCGCCCCCCCAGCAGCCGTGGGGCGAGGAGGAGGAGAGGAAGGGGCGTGGCTTGTTGCCTCGGCGACTCTTCAGACGTAGGTACGGAGAGCGGTGAGGAGGATCGGCTCGGCCCCTCACCATGTCGGACTTGGAGGCGGAGTGTCTGGGCCTCGGCCTGCCGCCGGACTGCGGCTCCCCCCCGCCTCTGGATGGCGCCGCCCCCCCCACGCTGGCGATGCTGTCGTCGGACTGCCCCACTCCCACGCTCAGCTCGCTGGCGGCGGAGATCGCCGAGCCGCTGGTGATGCTGCCGTGCGTGAAGAGCGAGCCGCAGGACGGGGACCTGGAACCCATCCGGACCGTAGACCTGTCCGAGATCCAGCCGCTGTCCACCGCCGAGCTGGGCCACGACCAGATCAAGATGGAGATCAGCGGCCTCGACTACATCAAGTCGGAGCACCACGGACACCATGACAGCCACCAGCTGGCGTTCCACCAGGGCGACCCGTCAGAGCTGGACTACAAGACGCATTACGAGCCCTGCTCCGTGTTCGACTACATCTCCCAGGTACTAGAGGCGGTTCTGACCCGGCCCGGTCAGAGCCGGGTCAGAACCCGGTCAGAACCCGAGTCTTGATGGTTCTGGAGTTTTCATTACAACTTAGATTCATTTCACTGAGACGTTTTGTCTAATTCAGTTAGATTTACTTTGATTTTATTAGTTAAATATTGTTTAGTTTGCATTAATTATTAGTTAAATGTTTACTTTTTATAAATTAGAAATTGTTTTTTAGTTGCATGTCTTTTTGTTTTTATTAAATATGTAGTTTTTTTTAGATTAGTTAAAAATTGTTATCATAAAACTAATAAACTTTCTCCCAGTTTCAACAGTCTGGACCCAAAATCATAAACCTTTAAATCTGACTTGGTGATATTTATTAGCAGCAACATAAAATATGGAAGAACCAAAAAAATACCATGCTATCGCTGAAATGCTAACACATTAGAGCAGTTACTAGATTCTGAAAACATGGCCGACATCATACATGACTGATTTTTATTAATTACAATATTTAAAAAATATATGTATTAGCAGAAAAAAAGTCATTTTAATGATAGTTTGGACAGTTATCCAACACGAGGCTCCGTCTCGCTCAGTTACCTCAAAGTTCTGCTGCCTATTTGATGATGGTGTTTTAAAAGATGAAATATTTTCTTATTTCTAACAGTAAAGCTTAATAAGTGCTCAATATACTTTGTTTTATATTTAAATTGTG